CAGTTTTACCCAAAGTAAAAACAGTATGATGCATTTCATCATCACTTAGTGTACACCATTGTTTAGGCAATAAAGAGTAGATTGTTTCGATACCAAGAAAGAAATGACTAGAGGATATACATTCAGAGATGCATTCATACACCTGGATATAAACATTTAGAGTTTAACTTATACAAATAGAGAGTTGTAACCGGGCTCATATACTAGGAGAACATGCATACAACACATTCATATACCATATACATTTTATAGCACCTCAATTATGTCCTAAATAAGGAAATAGTCTTTATGTGTGTGTGTGTGTGTGTTATGTCTATTGTAAGTGTAGTTCACTGGCCACCCAGGCATTGTGTGAACGTCTTCTCGTTGGAATGTGTTTGAAGTCAGATGGGGAGACCCAGTGTTGTTCTGTTTAGTATCTTCTGGATGGTGGGGGAAAACCTTTGGAAAATTAGCACCCATATAAAAGTAGGCTGTGGGGCCAGTCGTGACATTTATATGCAAATGTCAAAAGGCTAAAAGGGACTCTAAGGCATCAACGATCATCAGTGATACTATGCAGATGCAATGTTTTTGTTGAACTGTCACAATAAATGATTAGATCTCTTATTAAAATAGTAAAAGTTCTGCATCAATGAGGATTTATTCATGGCTGTTCCTCTCAGCTGATTTCTGACTCAATCAGATGGTGATAAAGGCTCAATTCTCGTGACATCAAAAGAGTAGATGCCAGTATCATTCGCTCTTAAGAAACTCTCCACCAAAGTAGCAACCTGACGAAAAAAGACAATATGAGATGAGCAAGGCAGGTCCAGAAGTTGTCTCAATTCACATGCTGTCCATAATGCATAGTATTCAAGATTAGAATAATTGAGAACAATTCATAATTTATGAGTACTACAGATATTATGGTATATTTCATATAGTTTGGATCTTTCCTTTGTCATACCACAAGTGTAATAATAAACTTATATCCTCATACAATTCTACACAAATATCAGATTGTATGAGGATATATGTTACTCTGGCACCAACCACATCTATGTTTACATTCATAAAATTTAAACTACTGTAAATGCTACTGTAGTTATATTGTGTGATATAATGTAAATGATGTTAATTGATGTACTTTTATGGTTTAGAACAAGACACAATAATGGAGGATTTCTAATAAGGCACAGAATAGAAACCAGAGGTGTAAAGAATTGGAGTAAATGTAATTAGTTACTGTACTTGAGTATCTTTTCGGATATTATGGTATATTTCATATAGTTTGGATCTTTCCTTTGTCATACCACAAGTGTAATAATAAACTTATATCCTCATACAATTCTACACAAATATCAGATTGTATGAGGATATATGTTACTCTGGCACCAACCACATCTATGTTTACATTCATAAAATTTAAACTACTGTAGTTATATTGTGTGATATAATGTACATTATGTTAATTGATGTACTTTTATGGTTTAGAACAAGACGCAATAATGGAGGATTTCTAATAAGGCACAGAATAGAAACCAAAGGTGTAAAGTATTGGAGTAAATGTAATTAGTTACTGTACTTGAGTATCTTTTCGGGTAGTTTGTAGTTGTACTGAGTTTCAAAGATATTAGCAACTTTTACTCTTTACTTCACTACATTTCTGAATGAGTATCTGTACTCTTTACTCCACTACATTTGAAATGAGTGTTGCAGTTACACATTACATTTTGCATGTACCTAGCTTTTTCTGCGGCAGTTTATTTCTGCTACAAAAGTCGTGATACTGCCCATTACAGGTCACTGAAAGTACTGCATTTTGCCCTTACTCACCCAAACTTTTCAATAAGGCTACTTTATGTGAATGCGAGTTCCTTAGCAAGTATTTGTGAATCATGTAGTGGAGTCATTTTCACTGTAAGGTATCTGTACTTTTACTCAAGTATGGTTTTTAGATACTCTTTACACCTCTGATAGAAACACTATAAAAGTTATTTCAGCCAATAGAATCACTTTGGAGTCTAACAGCGACGCCACACCTGTTCAACTCGATTGTAGAACATCTGTGAGGCTGAAGCTACACAAGCAGTTTTTTTGAGTTTCATTAATTTTGCTAGAACCCAGTGCTTTTTAAACTTTTTTTAACTTTGTTAAAACACTTACATACTTACACATACACTGACTAGAATGAAACAATTAAATCCGGAACAGACTAAAACAATCTTCTCAATCTCTCAACATACTTCAGCTCAAAGAGTGCTTCTTAGAGGGGTCATATGATGCTGCTAAAAAGAACATTATTTTGTGTATTTGGTGTAATGAAATGTGTTTATGCGGTTTAAAGTAAAAAAACACATTATTTTCCACATACTGTACATTATTGTTTCTCCTCTATACCCTGCCTTTCTGAAACGCGTCGATTTTTACAAAGCTCATCGGTCTGAAAAAGCGAGGTGTGCTGTGATTGGCCAGCTATCCAGTGCGTTGTGATTGGCCGAATACCTCAAGTGTGTGACGGAAATGTTACGCCCCTTACCATATTGTGATGCCGTGTCCGGCCGGAGCGATGAGACAAAAACATTAAAACCCATTATAAACGAGGCATTCGTTGCATCCAGTGGGGACATAATTATGGATTCTAATGACTTATACTGTTTTTTTTACGCGTTGCGTTGCATTGCATCGCTTCGCGCCGCGTAAACATAAAACCCTGTCTGCATTTGTGATCGGAGAAATGACAAACAACAAGTGCTACTCTACACTGCTCAAAACTCGCATTTGAATCATCAGTGGCAAATCCTTTAAATGAAAATGTACTTACTTGGTAAACAGTCCTCCATAAAATGCGCTGCACACATCTGGATATTTGGGTTAAAATGTTCTGGAACCGTGTTGTAAACACTGATTTGTAGTAGTGTCCTTTTTTGGAAGACCAAACAAAGTAGTTTCGCTTTCACAACGAAAAACACAGCGGCCTAGCGTGAGGGGAAGCCCCGGCTTAGCGTGCGCTGAGGCCGGGATAGAGCGAGCTGAGGCCGGGCTAGCGTGAGCGGAAGCCCCTGCTTAGCGTGAGCTGAGAACGGCGCGCCCGGTGGATCCGACGAATGAGTGGCAACCACATGTAATGGACCCTGGGCTGGATTCCGCTTCGTCCACGGGGAAAGTTGATGTATTCCCTCGGCGACCAGCACAGATCAGCTCTAGGCACGACGAAGCGGATATCGTCCTCTTTTGGAAGATCAAATAAAGTAGTTTCGCTTTCACAACGAAGCACACAGCGTCTTCAGGACATGGCTGCAGCGGCAACAATACTACAATGAGACTAAAAGTTACGCTTTCTTTGCGTGAACATTTGGGCGGCGTTATGCAAATCTTCCCACATTGTGAGGTAGATATGTGGGGGCGTGTTAGAACGAGGCGTTTTAGGTAGGTGTGGCTGACTCTGAACTTTTATAAAGAATATCTCTTTGGATTTGAGACTGTAGTCTTTGCAACTTTACAGATCTTCTTTATGCACCAAGAGTTTGTAACACTCCAAAGAGAAATTTAAATCGCTTCATATGACCCCTTTAATAAACAAAGCATAAACATCTCTGTATCTGTGTATGTGGGTTCTTACTGCAGGTGCTGCTGAGGTCGGGACAGCAGTCATTGAGCTGTTTGCAGACCTCATCACAAAAACAGCCTCTGAAACAGTTGTAGTTCAAGCCATTGTAGCATAGAGTCGGATGTGAACACGTCTCTATAGGAGCAGTGCAGATGACACGTCAATCCTCAGTACACTCACTTATTCCAGCTTGCTAAAGACACTAGCACACAGAAGGTGTTTGATGTTTCAGGTATTTGGATGAAACTGAATGTTGCCTTTTAAGAAAAACCTTATTGTAAATACTTAATATTTTATTAGAAGTAGGGTTATTATCGTAAATTAAACCAAATCCTTAAATTATATATATATATATATAATAGGTTAATTTCCAAGAAAATATTTTTTATGTTCATTTAGTTTAAGTTAAAGTATTAAAATAAGTAAAACTTAAATAAATAAAAACAACTACTTTTAAAATGAAAACAAAATAAAAAAATGTATATATAATTTTATATATAATGTAATATAAAAACTTTAGTAGTATTTCAATTAGAAAATTAAAAAGTATTTATAAATTATGTAAAAAAAAAAAAACATTTCATATATGGTGAACAAGTATGGAAATGGGATGAAAAAGGACACCAGGATACCACCACTGAGAATAGGACTGTAAATACAAATTCTTTTGTCATTTATGATAAGAATTTATAGTAGTCACACAGACGGACCAATCTCACTTATTTAATAAAAGTTGCCCTCAAAAGGTAAATGCAATATTTTACACCAAATTTACATAAAATCTAGTTTCTAGGAGGTTGGTCACATCACTGAGGTCACTATTATCTGTTGTAACTGAAATTAGAGAGTTAAACATTAATAAAGAGCCACAGAGCTCTGTCTGAGCAAGACATGGTTTATACACAACAAGAACAAGGAAATATTTCTGTGCATGGATGCTTTTCTCTAGTGGAATTAAACTGCATGTTTAATCACGTACAAGTTTAGAGTTAGTTACTACTGCAATATTACATTTAAATATTCAGGATTTTGCCTCACATGTTGGTGGACTGACTGTAGTTGTAGTCCTGGCAGTCAGTGGTGTAGGTAATGTGATGTGGTAATTGTAGTTGGTGCTGGAGTAGGTGATGTTGTAGTTGAAGTTGGTGCTGGTGTAGGTGTTGTAGTAGTAGTAGTAGTAGTAGTAGTCGGTGTAGGTGGTGTTGTAGTTGAAGTTGGTGCTTGTGTAGGTGTTGTAGTAGTAGTAGTAGTAGTCAATGTAGGTGGTGTAGTAGTTGTAGTTGGTGGTGGTGTAGGTGATGTTGTAGTCGGTGCTGGTGTAGGCGGTGTTGCAGTTGGTGTTGGTGTAGGTGTTGTTGTAGTAGTTGTAGTCAGTGGCGGTGTATTTGGTGTTGTAGTCGATGCTGGTTTAGGTGGTGTTGTTGTAGTAGTTGGTGCCAGTGTAGGTGGTGTTGTAGTTGTAGTCGGTGCCGGTGTAGGTGGTGTTATAGCTGTAGTCGGTGCTGGTGTAGGCAGTGTTGTAGTTGTTGTTGGTATTGGTGTAGGTGGTGTTGTTGTAGTTATAGACGGTGCCAGTGTAGGCAGTGTTGTAGTTGTAATTGATGCCAGTGTAGGTGGTGTTGTAGTTGTAGTCGGTGCTGGTGACGATGGTGTTGTTGTAGTAGTTGTAGTTGGTGCTGTTGTAGATGGTGTTGTTGTAGTAGTTGTAGTTGGTGGTGGTGTTGTAGCTGTAGTCAATGCTGGTGTAGGCGGTGTTGTAGTTAGTGTAGGTGTTGTTGTAGTAGTTGTAGTCAGTGGCGTTGTATTTGGTGTTGTAGTTGTAGTCGGTGCTGGTGTAGGCAGTGTTGTAGTTGTAGTTGGTGGTGGTGTAGGTGTTGTTGTAGTAGTTGAAGACTGTGGCGGTGTTGTAGTTGGTGCTGGTGTAGGTGCTGTTGTTGTTGTAGTTGGTGTCGTTATAGATGGTGTTGTTGTTGTAGTTGTAGTTGGTGTTGTAGCTGCAGTCAGTGCTGGTGTAGATGGTGTTATTGTAGTAGCTGGTGCTAGTGTAAATGGTGTGGTAGTAGTAGTTGTAGTTGGTGCCTGTGTAGGTGGTGTTGTAATTGTAGTCGGTGCTGGTGTAGGTGCTGTTGTAGTTGGTGCTGGTGTAGGCAGTGTTGTAGTTGTGGTTGGTATTGGTGTAGGTGGTGTTGTGATTGTGGTTGGTGGTGGTGTTGTGCTTTTGTAGCTGTAGTTGGTGTAGGTATTGTTGTTGTTGTAGTCAGTGTTGTAGTTGTAGTTGGTGCTGGTGTAGGTGGTGTCGTAGTTGTAGTTGGTGCTGTTGTAGATGGTGTTGTTGTAGCAGTTGTAGTTGGTGGTGGTGTAAGTGGTGTTGTAGTTGTAGTCAGTGCTGGTGTAGGTGGTGTTGTAGTTGTGGTTGGTGCCGGAGTAGGCGGTGTTGTAGTTGTAGTTGGTTGTAGTGTAGGTGGTGGTGTAGTTGTAGTCGGTGCTGGTGTAGATGGTGTAAGGATAAAAGAAACTCAGATACTTTGATCTCCTGAGAAACAGACAATACACTGGCATCTTCAAGATACCCCACAGAGGGGTGGTGCATGAAACGCCTCTCTCACATATGCATCAGTGCCTTTTCATCTCCTCCCTCCACTTGATTCACTCAGAATGGTCAATAGTATATTGTTCTATATGAATGCAAATAAGCTTTACAGTCATGTTTGGCATCATTTGAATAGTCTCAGGGCGAGTGGTACAATGGTCTTAATCTTACAAAAGTAGACTAAAAGATCTCTAAGATCCTAAGAGTTAAGAGATACTTTGATTACTGTAGAGGGTCATTCCATGCAAATTACCTTCTGTTCCCATTGAGGTGCAAACCACCCAGGTCTCGGACCTGGGCTAATGTAAATTCTAATTGTTTGTACATGCCTCCACTTGGGGGATGTTTTTTCTTGTTTTTGTATTTAAAGGATTGCAGCAAAAGGGTCGGGGCGATTCTGTAGTCAGAGAGCCCGTAGTGTGAAGGGTGTCCACACACTTCACACTATGTATTTTTCTAAAAGGTCAGGTATGCATCTTACTCTTAGATATTTAAGAGGTTTAAAATGAATTTAAGCAAACGATTATACATAAAATATAGTGCAATCAGTTCGGACATCGCACAGTGCTCATTCAATAAATGCACAGCTAAACAGATGAGTTTTAAGTCTGCATTTAAATGTGACTAATGTTTTAGCACATCTGATCTCTTCTGGAAGCTGATTCCAACTGCGGGCGGCATAATAACTAAAAGCAGACTCCCCTTGTTTTGTGTGAACCCTTGGTGTTTCTAACTGACTCGATCCTAATGATCTGAGTGGTCTGTTAGGTTTATATTCCGTGAACATATCTGCTATGTATTTAGGTCCTAGTCCAATGAGTAATTTATAAACGAGTAAAAGTACTTTAAAATCAATCCTAAATATAACTGGAAGCCAGTGTAAGGACCTGAGGACTGGTGTAATATGCTCAGATTTTCTGGTTCTAGTCAGAATTCTGGCAGCAGCATTCTGGATGAGCTGCAGCTGTCTAATGGTCTTCTTGGGAAGGCCGGTGAGGAGACCATTACAATAGTCCACCCTGCTGGTGATAAAGGCATGAACAAGTTTCTCCAAGTCTTGACTGGAAACAAAACCTCTAATTCTTGCAATGTTTTTGAGATGATAGTATGCTGATTTAGTTACAGCTTTGACATGACTACTGAAACTAAGGTCTGTCTCCAGAATCACACCAAGATTCCTGACTTGATTTTTAGTTGTTAGACCCCTAGAGTCAAGGTATGCATTCACCTCGAGAACTTCATCTTTGTTTCCAAATACAATTACTTTTTTCCAGACATAGTATCTTCTTTTTGATATTGTGGTCGAATCTGTCTGACCTCTACATAACTTGGGGATGTGCTAATCGCCTTCCTGACATTATTGATCTTCTCAGAAAAGAAGGAAGCAAACTCATTGCATTTGCTGTCGGAGAGCATTTCACTGGCAATCTGATTTGGGGGGTTTGTCAGTCTCTCAACAGTAGCAAAAAGAGTGCGAGTGTTGTTTAAGTTACTGTTTATAAGGTTTGAGAAGAAGGTCTGCCTAGCTGTGGCTAGATCCACATTGAAAGCACAAAGGCTGTCTTTATAGATGCTATAGTGAATTTCAAGTTTCGTCTTCCACTCAGCTTTTCTGCATTGTTTTTTCATACTCTGTACTGCCATTAACAGTTGGATGTGCCAGAACTTTCTTCAGTTAAACAAGGAACAAACTGAAGTCAATGCATTTGGAAACAAAGATGAAGTTCTCAAGGTGAATGCATACCTTGACTCTAGGGGTCTAACAACTAAAAATCAAGTCAGGAATCTTGGTGTGATTCTGGAGACAGACCTTAGTTTCAGTAGTCATGTCAAAGCTGTAACTAAATCATTTCGTTAATGCATCTCTTTCTGAGACAGATCTAGATTCAGTGGTAACAGAGATCAATATATCAAAGAAAATACAGAAGTGATCAGATAGTGCTACGTCCTTAATAACAATGGATGAAATGTTTAGCGACATAGATTCCGAATGAACGAGTAAATATAAGTAAAGAGTTAACTAGAATAATCGAATGTCAGAATAATTAGAGACCGACAAACAACCAATTTGCCTTTCAACCTAAATTCGAGGTCATACTAAAATGGAACCAGATTAGATAATAAAATGGAGTCAGATTTGAGTTAAACCTAAATTGAATAACTCTGCACGCTGAAAAGACCGAACACGCAAGAAACCTTCATCCACCACTGGATACCTTCATTGGGCCAAGTGTGTGGACCTTACAATGGTGTTGTTGTAGTAGTTGTAGTTGGTGCCAGAGTAGGCAGTGTTGTAGTTGTAATCAGTGCTGGTGTAGGAGGTGTTGTAGTTGTAGTCGTAGTCAGTGCCGGAGTAGGTGATGTTGTATTTGGTGCCAGAGTAGGCAGTGTTGTGGTAGATTGAACTGTGGAATGAAAGACAATCAGAGAATCTGAAGTGTTTACAGATTGCAAAACAACTCTTGTGCAATAGTAGCGTTATTGGTGTGGTTTCAGCTGTAGAATTAAACAAAAAACAATGCAGTGTAATTATTCTATTTGTTTCTGAAACCTCTTTAGCATTTAATCATCATTCCTGATGGTTCTTAAAATCTCTCAAAGCAATTAAAATCAATGAAATCAGTGGTGGATCTAATTTTGTATTGAAAACTATATTAAAATCTGACACAGATTAAAATTCATCTTATGTGAATGTTATCTGTTAAGGTTAAGCAGCTGATTGTGGTGAGCAGACAGCCGATCAGAAGAACAGTGGGAGCCATCCTGCAGATTCAGAGTATGTCAGACCTCTGCCATTGATCTTCTGACTTGCAACTTCTCTGTGACTCCTTATTTAATGGTCCGGATCGTTTCCTCATAACCCATCATGTGTTATGCCTCCTGCTGAAATGCACTGCTGCCAGAGACAGATAACTACCAAAAGCATGAAGGAAATGTTTTTTTTTTAATCTGTTTTTTATCAGATTTGTTTTACTGAAGTAGTGCAAAGTGGGCCAAATCATGTTCCATTTTTGTGTATGAATGTTGGTAGATCATGTGGTCATTCAGTGTGTTCACACTGCCATCACAGGTTGAGCTCAGGAACTGATCACCCGGGTTTGGAGACATTCACAGACGTCTGTTGTGCTGTTCTGTCTCATGTCATCAAACTCATCGGAAGGCTTGATAGCAGTTCTTCTTTCTGGCACCTCTCCATCTGTGGTCAAATGCCTCTAAACATCGAACAAGAGAGAGAACAAAGTGCCTTAGTGAACCTGCTAAATCATCCACCTACTTTGCAAATACTCTCTCTCTCTCTCTCTCTCTCTCTCTCTCTCACACACACACACACACACACGCACGCATAGTAGCACACACACACTACTTACTAGCCTCATATACAAAGTTCTGGGACATTTGCATCCAAACCTCACAGCATAGAGCTTCCTCATGAACTGAACACCTCACGCATTGTGGTAAAGTCCAATTATTTATATTTATTTAATGAATTGCATGGTAAACATTTAGGAATCCAGACAGAGAAAAATAAACATACAGCAATAGACAGGAATCTCCACCCAAAAAGCAAACTCAGATCTCACTTTCCATAGTTTGCATCAAACATAAACATTGAATTTTTTATCTTTAATGTTAAACATACAAGCATTGTATGTATCAGCAATTGCAGTGCTTTTGTTGAACCGTCACCATAAATAATCAGATCTCATATTAAAATAGTAAAAGTCCAGTAGCGATGTCTGTTCCTCTTGGCTGATTTCTGTCTCAATCACACGGTGATACCGACTCAATTCTTGTGACCTCAAAAGAGTTGATGTCATTATGATACCTTCTTAAGTAATTCTCCACCAAAGTGGCAACCTGAGAAAAAAAAGATGACAGGAAGTGAGAAAACTGCAGGCCCAGAAAATCACAGTAAAAATTTACTTTTATGATTCAGAACAAAAAACAAGCAATAATGGAGACATATCAGACACAGAATTCTAATTCAGCCAATAGAATCACTTTGGGACCTAAAAGAGATGTGACGGCCCACCTGTCTCGACTGTAGAACGACTGAAGTTTCATGAATTTGGCTAGATGTTAATGTTTTGTTTTATAGTTTGACAAATATTGACAAATACTTAAAACTGTGTAGTTTCCCATCACCAGCAAAGTACATTTAGCATGTAGTGCAAGTATGTGAACTGGACGCAGTCAAACAGTCAGAAACGCTCCTTTCACCTGAAGCAGTGCAGCCTGACGCTCTTCTTCAGTGGATGACTCCTCGGCCAAAACCTCCACCTCCAGATTAGTGAGTAACGTCAGAACATCTGTGAAATTCCAGAAAATCACAGTAAAAATTTACTTTTATGATTCAGAACAAAAAACAAGCAATAATGGAGGATTTCTAATCAGACACAGAATTCTAATTCAGCCAATAGAATCACTTTGGGACCTAAAAGAGATGTGACGGCCCACCTGTCTCGACTGTAGAACGACTGAAGTTTCATGAATTTTGCCAGATGTTAATGTTTTGTTTTATAGTTTGACAAATATTGACAAATACTTAAAACTGTGTAGTTTCCCATCACCAGCAAAGTACATTTAGCATGTAGTGCAAGTATGTGAACTGGACGCAGTCAAACAGTCAGAAACGCTCCTTTCACCTGAAGCAGTGCAGCCTGACGCTCTTCTTCAGTGGATGACTCCTCGGCCAAAACCTCCACCTCCAGATTAGTGAGTAACGTCAGAACATCTGTGAAATACCCAAACATCACAGCACTCAGTAAGTTCAAATACACTGCATTATGTATACACACACACACACACGCCTGTTGTCTTGGCTATCTAAATGGGCACATACTAAAACAAACTTCATTTACTTGAACTTCCAAAAAGATGAACTCCTGGTGAGATCCTTCACACATGCACTAGTAAATTACCTTTGGGTGGAGCTGTAGTGGAGTTGGCGGGTGGAGCTGTAGTGGAGTTGGTGGGTGGAGCTGTAGTGGAGTTGGCGGGTGGAGCTGTAGTGGGGTTGGCGGGGGGGGCTGTAGTGGAGTTGGCAGGTGGAGCTGTAGTGGAGTTGGCAGGTGGAGCTGTAGTGGAGTTGGCAGGTGGAGCTGTAGTGGAGTTGATGGGTGGAGCTGTAGTTGGGGTAGTGAAATCTATGGACGAAGTAACAGATACTATGTACATTATAGTATTTAAGAGGACGCAGGATTCATCATGCAATAAATACAATATTGATTACACTGACTTCAATGCAAGAAACAATTAAATCAGGAACAGACTACTTAAAAAACAATCTTCTCAATCTCTCAACATACTTCAGCTCAAAGAGTGCTTCTCAATAAACAACGCATAAACATCTCTTTATCTGTGTATGTGGGTTCTTACTGCAGGTGCTGTTGAGGTCGGGACAGCAGTCATTGAGCTGTTTGCAGACCTCATCACAAAAACAGCCTCTGAAACAGTTGTAGTTCAAGCCATTGCAGCACAGAGTCGGATTTGAGCACGTCTCTATTGGAGCAGTGCAGACATCAGTATACACTCACTAATATTATTCTAACATTATAAAGACACTAGAAGATTTCTAAAGTTTCACATGCTTGTAAGAAAATAACATTGTCTTCTATGAAACTTTTTTTTTTTGTAAATAAGTCAATATTTTATAAGTATTTTATAAAAAAAAGTACTGGAACACCATCATTGAAACAAAAAGTCTGCTGACAAGAATTTATAACCAGTTACAATCATGTTTCTCATTATTTCTCTTTTGCTGCATCATAATGATTTGTTAATTCAGAATATAGTCAAATATTGCATATATGGACATGCTATATGGACATGTTTGGAGAACTTAACTATTGAAAATATAGCCTTTTAACTATTTTATTTATTTAAAAATAACATTAATCATGCAGAACGTTAGTAAAACGATCCTATCTCCCAATCTCTGTTTTATTTAATTTTTTTAAACATGTCTCTGACTTATTTTTCATTCATCAGTGTGATGTCTCGCATTTTTAAATGCAAAAGCGCGTTCTGTGTGGATGTCCTTTAACATGATATATAATAATTTAAAGAAATAGAAAACATACCTGTTAGTGGCAAAATGTTTGTGCTGTTTTTCACTATGAAAGGGGACAGAGGTGCAGATTTATTAAGATTTCTTATAGAAATGTTCAGTATATGTGCAGTATTGTATTATTCTTTTAATCGCAGTGATGCTCTTTACTCTTGTATTATACAATAAAACACTCAACACAGTCTGATTACTGAACTTGCACTGTTCTTATATGAGGTTGTTAACACACAGTAAGTGACTGATTTCAGCACAGATTAATCAAATATGGGTTTTGTATGAATATTTCTGAATACCTGTGAGGCAGGTGGGTTTGAAATCAGGGCAGCAGTCTTTTAATCTCAGACAAGCAACATCACAAAAACAATTCAAGCGGTTACAGCTGTCATTCCTTCCAGAGCAGCACAGATCTGGACTCGCACAACTTCCATCTATGACAGAAAATTAAAAAAACATCAGTTAATGTAATTTCACACCAAATAGTAGAAGATATGCCATAGTGAATTAATCATACGAACAAACAAGAAACACTCACACAATGGAGCCTGAGGAGTTGTTGCATTCGTTGTAGTCGCATTAGGTGATGTGGTAGTTGCATTAGGCGCCATGTTGGTTGCGTTGGGCGCCATGGTGGTTGCGTTGTGCGCCATGTTGGTTGCGTTGGGCGCCATGTTGGTTGTGTTGGGCGCCATGGTGGTTGCGTTGGATGACATGGTGGCTGTGTTGGGCGCCGTGTTGGTTGTGTTGGGCGCCATGTTGGTTGTGTTGGGCACCGTGTTGGTTGCGCTTGGCGCCGTGGTGGCTGTGTTGGGCGCCGTGTTGGGCGCCATGTTGGTTGCGTTGGGCGCCATGTTGGTTGTGCTTGGCGCCATGGTGGCTGTGTTGGGCACTGTTTTGGTTGTGCTGGGCGCCGCGGTGGCTATGTTGGGCGCCGTGTTGGTTGCGCTGGGCAACATGGTGGTGCTAGGTGATGTGTTAGCCCCGTTGGGCAAAATGGAATTTGCACTAGTTGCGTTGGGCAATACATTAGTTGCGTTGTTAGTTGCATTAGGTGATGCAGTAACAGCATTAATTGATGTGGTAGTTTGAGCTGTGGAATGAAGGAAAAAATATTTATGAACCGAGAATTTGAAGCATTTACATTTTGACTGTGCAGTGTCATTATTCTGAAACGTCTTTAGCAATGAATTTTAATCACTCCTGATGGCGCTTCTCAAAATCTCTCAATGAGATTCAAATGAGTGGAACTAATTCTCTAATGAAAACTGTATCAAAATCTTACATACATACTGTAACAGCGCAGATGATGTGAATGTTACCTGTGGTCAAGCAGCTGATTGTGGTGAGCAGACAGCCGATGAGTAAAACCGCGGGAGCCATCCTACAGGTTCAGTGTGTGATCTGTGATCTTCTGACTTGTACCTTCTCATTTTTGTGCTCCGGACTGTTTCCAGAGTCCAGCCCTCCACCGACACACACAGATGTCAGTAACAGATAAAACAAAAACATCTCTTCTCAGTTAATGTGCGTGACTGATCACAGATCTCTCAGTTTATCCTGAAATACTGGTTTCTTTTATGATGCTATTAAAATATCCAAATGCCTGGTGAAAATTTCCAGGCTGTGACAGTGTGCAGGACTGTCTTTCTATTTCATTGACAGTGTCCTACACACCTGTATTAGACTTATTTACACGTTACTATTAAAAATAACAAACCCGAATAATAAATAAATGCCTTATTTGACTTTCTAGTTCTTATTTCAGGCTATGCAATCATGTACTCGCCCTCATGTTGTGCCAAACCCGTACAAATTTTTGATTGGTGCATAAAAGGTGAATTTAAGGACATCCTTACATATAATGAAAGCGTTGAGCTCTAAAATAGGAGAAAAGCATTATAAAATAACTTGAAAATAGTACTTACCACTTGCATGCTATTCTCCAAGCCCAAGTTTGTGGTCAAAAATAAATTAATACTATTATTCATCAAGGATGTATTAAATTGATTAAAAGTGATTAAGACATTTATAATGTTACAAAAGATCTCTATTTCAAATAAATGCTGTTTTTTAACTTTCTGTTCAAAATCCTGAAAAAATGTATCATGGTTTCCACAGAAATATGAAGCAGCGCAGCTGTTTTCAGCATTGATAATAAGTATCAAATTATTGATAATTATATTAGAATGATTTCTGAAGGATCATGAGACACTGAAGACTGGAGTAATGATGCTGAAAATTCAGCTTTGATCACAGAAATAAATTACATTTTACTATATGTTCATATAGAACCCAGCTATTTTATATTGTAATAATATTTCTATATTTTTACTGTATTTTTGATAAAATAAATACAGCCTTGGTGAGCATTAGAGACTGCTTTCAAAATCAATAAATCTCTTAGCATCCCCAAACTCTTGAAACTAGTTTATACGAAACTGACCTTTTCAGACAAAAATGGGATTCATACAAAAATATAATTTGATATTACATGAGAATGAATAAACATTTATGTCCATTTATGTATTTCAAATATGTAAGACTTAATAATTTAGGGGAGAGCGGGGTGAGTTAAGCCGATTTTTACTTAGGCCGTGTTTAAAGCAAACACATGACAGCAATGGGTCCAACTTAAATATCTACATACATTTCTGGATGTGGTGCATCCTTGGGAATAACCACTTTGGATCTAAAATAAACTGCTTTCAGAATATGGCTTTCCAAAAAAAAGTGGTCTCTTGGCTCAACTTGCCCCCAGTGAGGGGTAAATTGAGCCACATGGAGTTAAATTGTGCCACTGATTATGCTGAACATTTTTTACCTCGTGCTATATCAAAGGAAGAGAAATTCAATAAAAATTACTTCTTAAAATCTATGTGTGAGCCTTGTGATGGACTGGCCATCCATGCAGGGAGTTCCTGTGGCTCAAGACCCTGGGTTAGGATCCAGCTCCCCACGACCCTAATAAAGACATAGAATGGATGTAGGGATGACTTCTTAAAAGCTTTATTTAAAGATACAGTTCAAAACTCTGAAGGCGTTTTTTTAATTATTAAAAATTTCAGAACAAAAAGTTCAAATTGAAAAATTCTAAATCAAAATCATGTTTGGTGTAAAATGAATGAAATATAGAATTGCAGTAAAATAATACTTTATAATCATAAGAAGGGGGGGAACACTGGCTCACCTTACCCCAGGACATGTGACTCAAATTACCCCACTCCTATCATTTTAACAAACTTGTATCATCCAGCAGTTTAGAGCTAACACGTTTGGTGTAAAATTAATGAAAATATAGAATTCAGTAAAATAATACTTTATAATCATAAGAAGGGGGGGGAACACTGGCTCACCTTACCCCAGGACATGTGACTCAAATTACCCCACTCCTATCATTTTAACAAACTTGTATCATCCAGCAGTTTAGAGCTAACACCATGCTAACATTATAGCCTCATATTATAACCTCCTAAAGCACAAACACGTGTAATATTTTATTTATTTATTTATTTTGTAGATTTGTCTGTAACTGTTCAGGCACAAGAGTGCTTGAACATACAAAAATCACTTTGAACAGCAAAAAAAAAATTTTTTTAACCTAAATGTAGTTACCAAGTATTCCATGGGCCTCTCTCCATCACATGGTGAGTAAAATGCTTAAATCTTCAAATATGTTTGGTCATACCACCTTCCAGATAACAGGGAATTGCTCACACTGGCTTAGCAAAATGTTGGAAAGAATTTTGATCAGATATGTTTTCAGACGGTGATAAAGCAAGTAAATATTTACAGTATGTTTGTAAGCAAAACTTCTGGTTTTACTTGCTCCATCAAAATCAAAACCAACAATCCAATAGCTACAGTTTCACCAAGTATTATCAAAGAGAAGCTGCTGGTTTCTGTATTAAAATAATGTGTTGCCTTTACAAACTGGACCAATTAATGGTTCAGATGTGTGTATGAATGTTGGTAGATCATGTGTGTTCACACTGCCATCAACAGGTTGAGCTCAGAAAGGGTTTGGAGACATTCACAGACGTCTGTTGTGCTGTTCTGTCTCATGTCATCAAACTCTGTTCCTCTGAAAGGTTTGATAGCAGTTCTTCTTTCTTCCACCTCGCTGTCTGTGGTCAGATGCCTCTAAACATCAAACGAGAGAGAGAACAAGGTGCTTCAGTGAACTCCGAGCCGGTCGAAGGTCTTTCTGTTATTAACAGGGATAATCAGCTACCTGCTAAATCATCCACCTGCTATGCAAATACTCAAACACACACACATACCTCCAGCACGCTACTTACTGGCCTCATATACAAAGTTCTGGGAGATTTGCATCCAAACCTCACTGCAGAGAGCTTCCTGATGAACTGAACACCTCGTGCATCATGGTAAAGTACAATTATTTCTATTTAGTTGCATGTTAGACATTCAGGAATACAGATGAAGATGAAATTAACATGTGATTGGTGTTTGAGCAGGTTTCAGATGCTACGAACACTGTTTTATATGTGAACATCAATGTAATCATAATTTGGGGTGGCAACGTCTAGTGTCATTTATTACCTGGAATTGATGTCAGATACTGTATGCATCATATACTTTTCAGAAAGGTTAGGTAACTTCTACATTTAAATTTCTGCTTTCTCTACTTTAACACGGTACTGTTTCCGCTCCTCATTCGCAGTGAATAAAACGCCACATTGTTCTGATGCAACTGAAGCACCTATCTGATAAAAACCGGAAAATTGCACCGTTTCAGCTTCCTCTTATCTAGTCATCCCAGTAACGACACTATTATGTTTTGTGCTGTGAATATACACTTATTTTTCTACTTTTGTTTTCAAGATGGCACTTAATCTCTTAAACTACTGATATCTATGCCTTCACCTTTGGTCAAAACATTACTAAACATGTTTGTATACCCCTAAAAAGTACAACATTGCTTTTATCCGTTAAATTTTTAAAGTCATCTGCTGTGTTTTCCTCTGAAGTATGTGTACGAACAGAAGAGAAGTAAATAACCTACAGTATTCATCGATGTGTGTTTCGAACCACCCTGTTGAAAAAACCAGCATATGCTGGTTAGGTATGTTTTGATGCTGGGATGCTGGTTGAAGCTGGTCTATGCTGGTCCTTTGCTGGTTTAAACTAGTCCTTTGCTGGTTTATCCTGGTCCTTTGCCAGCATATGACCAGCATAAACCAGCACATGACCAGCATAAACCAGCACATGACCAGCATAAACCAGCACATGACCAGCATAAACCAGCACATGACCAGCATAAACCAGCACATGACCAGCATAAACCAGCACATGACCAGCATAAACCAGCACATGACCAGCATAAACCAGCACATGACCAGCATAAACCAGCACATGACCAGCATAAACCAGCACATGACCAGCATAAACCAGCACATGACCAGCATAAACCAGCACATGACCAGCATAAACCAGCACATGACCAGCATAAACCAGCACATGACCAGCATAAACCAGCACATGACCAGCATAAACCAGCACATGACCAGCATAAACCAGCACATGACCAGCATAAACCAGCACATGACCAGCATAAACCAGCACATGACCAGCATAAACCAGCAAAGGACCAGCTTAAACCAGCATCCCAGCGTCAAAACATACCTAACCAGCATATGCTGTTTTTTTCAACAGGGTGAGATAAGCAGTCGTGTGATTATGAGTGTCGACGAATTAAATATTTATATTTATAATATTACACACGAAGTAAAATGTTCCTTCGCTATGTAGCATTTCTACACTCTCCATCCATATATATATATTTACATAATCTTTGAATATCCGGGAAGTGTTTAACAAAACCAGCTAGCAAAGATCAATATTGTTCTTGTTAGACTTTGAGCCTGAGAGTTTTGGTCACGCACTGTATTGCTTCTTTATTTTTAGAGTTTCTTTGGGAAGTTGAAAACATCTGTACTGTAAGTACTAAAGTCTTTTTTCATCAAACGTTACATTTTTCGCCTGTACACCTTACATAACTGTCTAATTTACTTGTTATTTTTCATTTGTACAGACATAGCGGACCACCAGCTCCACCCAGGAGAACAGGTGCTTTCATGACAAGCCATACCTGTGAAAAAACATAAGATAAAAACGTCTATAGAACAAAATATTCATGTACTTTAACAGCAACATTAAGATTTTAGGTTAAAATAAAGGTATAAGGGGGTCATTTGTGGCATGGTATTTATTATTTTAATCGTTTTGTATATCAAAGCTCGAGTTGAAGCTGCTTCATTGAGCCCCTCATCAGTGGACAGCAAGCCAAATAAGTTTACACACAATTTCCTTAATATTATATGGGCAAACAAACTCATTAAATACATATAAGAATAATGCACAGATGTGACCCTGGAGCAGAAAAGCAGTGTTAAGTCGCTGGGGTATATTTGTAGCAATCGCCAACAATACATTGTATGGGGCAAAATTATAAATTTTTCTTTTATGCCAAAAATCATTAGGATATTAAGTAAAGATCATGTTCCATGAAGATATTTTGTAAATGTCCTACTGTAAATATATTAAAACTTAATTTTTGATTAGTAATATGCATTGCTAAGAGCTTCATTTGGACAACTTTAAAGATGATTTTCTCAATATTTAGATTTTTTTGCACCCTCAGATTCCAGATTTACAAATAGTTGTATCTCGGCCAAATATTGACCAATAAACCTGACAAACCATACATTAATGGAAAGCTTATTTATTTAGCTTTCAGATGATGTATAAATCTCAATTTTGAAAAATTTAGCCTTATGACTGGTTTTGTGCTCCAGGGTCACATATAAGAATAATAATGCATGTTTGGCAGAACTATATACAAAAGCGAAAACAAGTTAAAACAGCGGTGAAAAGCAGCTGCATCAATGTGGAAAAAACATGAATAGAAAAAATTTAAATAAATACTATATAGGGCCTATAAACAACACATCAAGTGTATTAAAAATAAACAAATACACATATAAAAATAACTAGCCTATATATACAGACCCTTTTAAAAGGCAGGTTAGTCAAATTTGATGCTATATTGAATTTAACGGGGATGAAAATGAGGCTGTGAGCAAGGTCATAGTCTGATATATTTTACACATATCTGTTACGGGGCTGACGAGACGAGAGGCGTGCGGATCCATGTGCAAGCTTTATTTAAAGCAGAAGAGGTCAGAAACACAGGCAGGGTCGAACAATGGCAAACAGGTATATGGCGGGAAAGACACAAGAATAATCCTACACTGTAAAAAAAAATTCTGTGGTTGCCAGAATAATTTTGTAAAAAATACAGAAAAACAGTAAACACATTTACGGCCAAAAACTGTCAACTGTAATTTACAAACATGAAAATTTGAATGTAAACCAGTAAATTCAACAATGCACACTGCTATTAAAATCTGTTTTGTACCTTTAACATACTGACAACCACCATAATAATGCAGGTGGTAAAAGAGAAAGCCACATGAAGAATCAAAGCTCATCACAAGTAGCTTCGCCACAAGCAGAAGTATATACTAATATACAGAAGGTGCACAGAGTCATTCATGCAAACACAAAACACCATCATGGTAACACACATGATACTTAAATAATGCATTCAACTTTCATTAAACAACAGATGTAACATAAAGCCCAAATATACATAACTAATAACAAAAATGATAAAAAAACATGATTATTTAAACAAAATATTTTCAAATGTGTAGTGTCATGCAGGGAATTCTGGGAATATCAGTTTACAGTTTTTGACTGTAAATTATACATTGATTTGTTATTTTTACTTCTAAAAACTGTAAAAATTAACAGCATTTTACTGTAAAATTACATGAAATGTCTGGTTAGATATTTTACAGTTTTTCCCTGTATATAGTACGGGAGCTTACTGTTAACCTATTAACAGTTTTTTTCCGTAGCGTTTTTACAAAATTTTACAGTTAAAATTACACTTATTTTTTACAGTGTAGGGCTAGCGTAGGTCAACGATCGGCGAGCAGAATCAAAAGGGCGAGACTAGAGGGATAAATCCAGGAAAACAGGCAAAGATCAGAAACCAAGAAAACAGACAGGACAAGACTAGGCTAGGACTGGGAAACTAACGAGGGCTCTGTAAATAGCTATCACTGCTGGCGATAAGCGCATACAATACTCGGCCGGTTGATAGGAGTCAGATTGAGTGATATATAGTGAATGTGTGATTGGATACAGCTGTGTGCAATCAGTGCTGTGTGCAATCAGTGCTGTGTGCAATCAGTACAATGGATGATGGGATATGAAGTCTGGGATGATATGCAACAGTTTGTGCAGTGCGAGAGTCAATGTAATGGAAAGGGTGACCTCTGATGGCAAACAGATGGAAGTTCATGGACCGGATTCGTGACAATATCTATATAAAAACATGTAGCATTAAAGGGATAGTTCACCCAAAAATGAAAATGCTGTCATCATTTACTCACCCTCATGTCGTTCCAAACTTGTATGAGTTGCTTTCTTGTGTTGAACACAAAAGAAGATATTTTGAAGATTGCTGGTAATCAAACAGTTGGTGGTTGCCATTGACTTCCATAGTATTTTTTTCCTACTATGGAAGTCAATGGCAACCACCAACTGTTTGATTAGCAGCAATCTTCAAAATATCTTCTTATTAATGTTAATGTTGGTTAAATGCATTATTACTGACATTAAAGAACAGAGTAGGAAGGTACATTAGTGAAGGTAAATGTTCACCTAACAAACCGTTCTGTGCACTTTGATTTACTGCGTGTGGATCTTTGTAACAGGCTGGTAAGTTCATTTACCTTTTTACAAATCTCACTCATGCAATATTTTAAATCACTAATTTACCTTAGTAATATTGAAATCATTTATTAATATTAACCAAAAGATGTAAAATATTGTTAATCATGGTAGTTATTCTTGACAGCTAATGCAATAGGCTAATATTAACAAATGAAAATAGTACTTTGTTGAGTGTTGATAATCAAAGTTGTATTTGCGCTTGAACTGAAAAATACATAGGCCTACAAAAGTATGCAAAGTTATTTTACATTTGATTATTCAGTTTCTGTACCTGAACATGTACAAACTCAAAAACCTAAAGCATTGTTTAATTTTCATCTTTGTCCTATTTATTTATTTGTGCTATTGCTTATCTTTCGTTCATTTGTTCGTATTTACTGACTGTTCACTTGTCTTCAGTTGGAATCGAGAATTGTAAAATTGAACTGATATCTATAATTTTGGTAACAAAAACAATGATAACAAAACTATTTTATTTTTTGTGGCAGGGCAAGTAAAAATCAAGTAAAAAAGCCCTTATGGCCAATTCACATAAATGTGAATCTTCAGCTGCCTCACGATTTGATTCGATTATAATTATAATGCATCACAATGCATCTTTTCCTCCAATTCTTTAATTAATAATAATTACTATAGTAATAATCACAATAAAGCTCTTTTTGTTATTTTACCTTTATTTAAAATAAAAACAAAGATGCAAACAAAAAAAACAGTAGAGGAAATACAACAGTGTCATGGTTCTGATGAGGGATGAAGCGAGGACTCAATTGCAGGATGATGGGCTTTTATTAATTTATTAATAATTTGCTGTGCCAGCAAAGCGTTAGTGATGTGAAGTTCGGATAATTTTACTGACTCGGATCTTTGAATCTCGTTCAGCAAAATAAACGCATCTTTTTTTCAAGTCGTTTCGTTCATTTCAGCAGAATATAATTGAAATGCTACATGTTAATATCCAAATTCCTCAGCACATCTACTTACGCAAACATTGATCACATTTAGAATAAGTCAAAACTAAGCAGTCTGTACCGGAAAAAGAAATGATTGGTTCACCTCTCGAGTCTTCAGGTCCGAGTCGTTCTTTCTTTTGTCACGTGACTGCTTCCCGGATCAGTATCCTGTAATGTTGTGTTATGTTTAGGAAATATCAAAGTGATTTTCCCCATCATACGCATAAAGTTTAAAGCATTAACCAACTCTTCAGTACCACATTCAATGTTTGGAAAAGAAATTTGCAAATTTATAAATTGTAAGAAATAAAAAGATGAACTAATAATAATGTCTATTATTAGTAAACTATAGGATATTGTACATGTGCGGTCAACACAAAATGAACAAATCACTCTCTGAGACAACTCGTCGATCCCGAGTCATATTAAAGATTTGTTCAAGAATGACCGATCACTATCAAATATGGCGCTGGAGTTTTGGCGCATTCGCGCGCATTTTCGGCATCGGCACTTTCTCTCGCATTCTGTCATCCCAAAGTGCTTTGAACAGTAAAACAGCGAGAGCACCAAAGACGTTAATAATCAAAAATCAACCATTCTGCTTTTTTATGACTTATTTTCTGCGTTTCTCTTGAACGCGGGTTTTTTTTGAGGAAGGTATTGAATCAACTCAAGTTCCCAACATGCACCGCGGCATATATCCAGTTACCTGTGTTACTCTTTTTATGTTTATCGTTTTACAGTTTACACTGTTGTTGTATTTGTTGTCACTATTATTTATTTGTCGTGGCGAATCTTAAGATTTTCTATTTATTTTTTAGTTGTCACCATTAATGTGATATGTTAAAGGGATAGTTCACCTTCACGTCCCGGTCCCTATTGACTTGCATAGTGTTTTTTTCTCTCCATACAATGGAAGTCAATGGGGACCAGCAACTGAAGGCGAGCTATCCCTTTAAAAATTGAGGTTCTTGCGCCGGTGGTATGTTTTTCCAAAAATTGGTTTATCGACCGTAATAAAACACAAAAAAAGACATGTTAACGTCAGAATTAAATGCAATATTGTATTGAGCTGTAGAATTTTCCTGTAGTTTCATATTTAGTGTGATCTCATTACAACTCTTCAATACTTTGCAGATAACAGCTCTGGATATGGCTGGCCAGAAGGCGAATTTGTAAGAATTGAGCAAATATCACTTGTTTAAAATACACAGACAAGGTTAAAAGTTGTGGGAACATTCATATTTCCTGTTGTATCTCCAGGAGGTATCACTTCCTTACCGTACTAATAGATAGCAGCTGATTTGTCATCTTGATGAGCATCTATTGTCCATCAGTCTTCTCTGAGAGCTGTGATGTCAACAGTTTACTAGTATAAGAAAATCAATCCCACATCACCCAATTACATGATCCCATTCCCAGAACCACTCATACAAATGGTTGGCACCCCACATTTTGAATGGGCGTCAATGGAAAGAGATGTTTCCCTTGCCCCTTATTTGGCTAATCTGAACTGGTAATTAATATACCATAAGGCCATCATCATCATTCAGTATAACTGTTTACCTCTCGTGACCTAATTATTGAAGCATATGTGCTGTTATATTTCATTATTTGACATATCTGAACAATCCTGACCATTTTGTGTTCATTAATCTGTACATTTTTAGGACGAGGAAGATTGTGATACATATGAAGCTCCACCATGTGAACGTCCCACCATTAAAGTCCAACCGCGCCAAGTAGAGGAGAATGTTTACCTGGGGTTATTGAAGCATATGAGCTGTTATATTTCATTATTTGACATCTTTTAACACATCTGAACAATCCTGACCATTTTGTGTTCATTAATCTGTACATTTTTAGGATGAGGAAGATTGTGATACATATGAAGCTCCACCATGTGAACGTCCCACCATTAAAGTCCAACCGCGCCAAGTAGAGGAGAATGTTTACCTGGGTATCTATCTATCTATCTATCTATCTATCTATCTATCTATCTATCTATCTATCTATCTATCTATCTATCTATCTATCTATCTATCTATCTGCATTAATAATGCTGATAAATAAAAATAAAAATATTTTAGTGTCTAATGTAGCATTTGTTTTTCTTTAGGTTATCCGGATCGAAACCCGAACCCTGTTACTCCCAAAAGGCAGGCAGCACCGCCGCCACGACCGGCCAAGATCACCCCGATAGGGAAAAGCATGGTAAAACATCTAAATTACTGCAATATCTGTGTCTTAGCCTTTATTGTGAGTTTATTTCACAGAAGAGGCTTGTGTAGCTTTTAGATTCAGCTGTGTGTTTCTTTTGCTTCTAGAAGCCAGAGCCACCTCACGACCCTCTATCTATCTATCTATCTATCTATCTATCTATCTATCTATCTATCTATCTATCTATCTCGTAATCAAGTTACAAATGGATTGGTTATCTTTGCATGGGATGTAAGAAAATATTTTACCAGGGAAAAACTATTTACATGTAATTAGTTTTATATTTTTCACTAATATGTTATAGGAATTAAAAGGGTCATATGATGCTGTTAAAAAGAACATTATTTTGTGTATTTGGTGTAGTGAAATGTATAAACATAAAACCATGTCTGCATTTGTGATCGGAGAAATGACAAACAACAAGCGCTACTCTACACTGCCCAAAACAGCCGGCATTGTAGTCTACTCTCCCAGGATCAGGAAACAGTCCTCCATAAAATGTGCTGCACACATCTGAATATTTGGGTTGAAGTGTTCTGGAACAGTGTTGTAAATACAACTTAACCACTGATTTCTAGTCGTGTCCTCTTTTGGAAGACCAAACAAAGTAGTTTCGCTTTCACAACGAAACACACAG